GGGGGGGGGGGGGGGGGGGGGGGGGGGGGGGGGGGGGGGGGGGGGGGGGGGGGGGGGGGGGGGGGGGGGGGGGGGGGGGGGGGGGGGGGGGGGGGGGCTGTGGAAAGAGCACACCAGCGGGGGCAGCAGCGTTGGAAAGCTGGGGGAGAGGTTGAAGAGAAAAGGGAGAAATGGGTACAGATATAGCGTTTGGCGTGATAATAATAGGGCCCGGGGGAAAATCCAGAAAAATCTCTCGATAAGGGCGGACGGCGAGCTGGTGGACGTGCTGTTTTGGGCGAATCGGTGTGGCCAGGGAAAAGAGCTTTTTTTTTTCTGCCATCCGAGCCCGAATCGATCAATGACTTCATGCGGTAATCAGATTCGAGGGATTTGGATATTGCGAGATATTACTCTTTTAGGGCCTTGTATCACCTCTCTAGGTCATTGTTCTACCGACTATATTCAATTCTACTGATCTGTTGAAACCTATCGACTGCCGTTCTTACAGACGCCGTCATAATTTCACAAGCCAAAACGACCGCGATGGAGCTGCAATACTCGGGACCCAGTTTTTTTTTCGGGGCCCCCGTCGCGGCAAAGGGCCGACGCCGAAATCGAAAAAGAAAAAAAGGCCCAAATTGCAAAAAGGGCAGAATTGGAGACGTGAGGGGATGCCCGGTGAGGAGAAATTAACCGCTGAGGAGAAAAAAAACCCGGTCGAGCTCGGGAATATGAGCGGTGCCGTGATTAGCTCCTCTATCTACTTCTAATTAGTACCTTTTGTACATCAAAACTACCAAGAATTCTTTCCATTGAAAATATGCTCCCATCTAGCTCTGCTCATAATTGCAAACTCTCTTTCCCCATCACCTTGAGCTCCAATGACCTACGAGCTCCTCCGATTGCCCCGGAATCACCCGCGGAAGAACCCGCGGCGTCCGACGAGATCTCGCTGAGCTTCTCCTCGCTGCCACGACGCCAGCCTTTCTCGTAGAATCTGGGGAAAGTATTCCCTTGGTCCACCCCCGTATCCTTGTCATTCCTTCGTCGCCCGATTTCTTCCTGTCGCCCCCCCTTTTCAGCCCTGCCCGGACTATGCTCGCTCTCGGCAGGAATCGGCGCATTACAGAACCCGAATGGGAGTAGGGATGTCGCGTTGGAGAAAAACACCAGTCACGGAACTGCTGTATCAACCCTACACAACCATGGAGTTCCGTCCTCTCGGCATACTTTGTATTCTTGAAAATGCTATGAGAATTTCAACGGCTTATCCCATTTTAGTTCGGGTGCATCGAAGAAAACCACTTGCACGGTGATATCGTCCCGTACACGCCGAGAAGATGGTGAATCGTAAGCAAGTCGGCCTGCTACCAACTCATGATGATTTCCCCCAAGCGAGTTACGCACCAGATGCACCGCGACATTGTCGTCTTGAACGGTGGTCCTCTTTTCCTCGAATTTCCAATCTTCCTCATTGGCAAATTCACTAAAGTCGGACATTTCACGTCCCGGGTCCGGATTGCTGCTTCTCTGCTTCTCTGCTCCGCGTTCCAACCATTTTCCCACGAGCTCGACCGCCTGCTGGTTGGAGAGCACATCCCACAATCCATCCGTTGCCATAATCAGGAACGCCGGCTTACCGGTGTTGAGCTTGGTGCTTGTGACCACCGGTTCGGCCGTGAGATATGGCGGCGTTCGAACGGGATATCTCGGTGTCAGAGGTGATGGCCCGAAGAATTTGCGCTGCATGTCTTGTTGGAATTCCAAAGACCACTTCCACCGAGCATCGCCAAAGGCCCGTGAGACCATAATCCCCAGTACCCTCCCGTTTTTGACGATATCTTCCTCGCCAGGGTGTTCCTTGTAAAGTCTGGCAATCTCTTCTTCGTTTTTGCCCGTCTGGTCTACCGACAATGGTTTTGCGTTCCATTTACCGTCCGGACCTTTTTGTCCGAGCACCGCTCTCGAATCGCCGGTACACGCCACATGTAGCGTGCTTGTGGTAGGATCGTACAGGGACAGCAAAGCGCATGAGCCGGAATAAGCGGGCGCTAACTTCTTCACCTTCTCGGGTAACGAGCATTGGCTCTGAGAAGTCTCCAGAGCTGTCTTGATGATGGAGTCGTCGAGATTCAAAAACGCGTTCGCGATAGCGCGCTGAATCAGCTCATTAGAGTAGGATTCTTGGTCCGAGAGCGGCTTGACTTGACTTAAGCTGTGTCGAACAAAAGGCATGAGTTCGGTCTTCAGCAATTCTGCCGTCTGAGCTCCTGCATGACCATCAAAAACACCCCATGTCATCCAAGTATTGTCTTCATTCCACGGCGAAGGAAATTTGCCATGTGTAAAATGATCCTCGCATGGGCTATTAGAGGGCAATTGGGCACCGTCATATCTGATGACGCCGTCCACGTTCCGGACTAGATGAGAATATGCTCCTTGAGAGATGATGCGTGTCACTTGGTCCTCGGAAGGACCTGGCTCGACGGTCCAGTGCTCAGCCGGGGGGCTTTCAAGATGCGGCGCATCGTCGCGGGTGACATCGTCTTTGGCATTTACCAGCCACCACAGAGCCGGTGTACTGATCACGCTGGCGATCACAATAGATCTCATCGGATTTGGGTAGGAGCGAGAGCCGGAGCTATACCTAGCACCCTTAGTCGAGTATATATTCTTGGTTCGCGCCCATAAGGTTGACGATGTGGTGACGCGTAGGCGCGTTCGAGCCATGCCCCATAACATCATGATTGCTCGGGCTCAAGGAGACACAAGAGAACAATGAGAGAAGAGTCAAGGCGTAGTTTGAAAATTCAATATCTCGAGTAGAACTATGGGAGGGGTTTAGGCAGCACAGTGTATCTATCCCCTTGTTTCGGATTGGTCAGAACAGGGATGATAGCGTGGGAGGCAGGTAAGAGGAAGGTAGGAGGAATATGCCTCCTGAAGCCAATGCTAGAGCCCAAAATCAACCCACAGCCTTAAGATATCCAATCCCACAAATGAATGCCCGGCCAAATCAATGAAGCAGTTTTGTGAGTAGTGTAGGCAATCGTTGCGAGTGAGACTGCATCGGACACCACCTGATGCATGGCTTAGCACGTGACCTGTGTTTGGATATCTAGATTGCGCGCTCGAAAGAACAATGTGTAACTAATAGGTAGGGACTTGATGTGCTAAATACGTTTCTTTGCCTATGTAGGATATATCTAAGGTTCTGGTATACCACAAATCAACTTATTCATATCCACCAATCGTGGGGAAATTCCAGGTGCTTGTCTGGACCCGAGATATATATCCCAAGTTAGCAACACGCGCAAAATATTGATCACCATGTATACAGAATCATTTAACCATTGATTTGAATTTCAATTTACTGGAGATGGAATTGCCCGTGTGTTTCCAGTAGATCTGCCTGAGCTCGGTCAAAGCCAATGCGTTAGGCCATCATGGTGGTACCATCCTTGAGTACTTCGAGAATCAGTTTGAGAGAGCAATGCTACAGTATGACTCCTAGCTAGATCAATTACAATATGGCGGTTGAGATGCCTCGTATCCAATCTCGCAAGTAGCCTAGGAGATTATGAGACCAACAGAATGTCTTTTATGATAGAGATTCTATAGCCTTTTACGTTTGACGATAACGGTGACAACATAGTCATGATACATATTGCAGTGTCTTCTAAGTCAATATAATAAGGTCTGGATTATTTTACCCGGAGAATTTTCTTACAATCAATTCTCATCTGGCGGGATTCTATCTAGCATACACTGCAAGACTTGCCTTCGAGAGCCTCGGCAACAGCGTAGAACGCCGGCTTTGCCTGAAGAGTGTGGTTGAACAAACAAGCACCACCTTGACCAGCAAACGTAGCCGGAACCCAGGAATAAGCATCGTCAAAGTCCCAAACAACCACACCGATGCAGCGAGGACCAACGTTCAAGCAACTAGTGACGCTCGAATAGTAGTCCTGAGCCTGCTGCTTCTGAGCGGCAGCCGTGTAATACGGCACAGCCGAGAAACGAATGTCGAGCTCAGTGATAGCCACGTCGAGATTAGCCTTGATATAGGACTGCTTTGTGGCGACTTGGTCGGCAAGAGAAGGGGTCTCGCCCACGATGAAGTGGGATTCCAGCCCAATACCGTCAATTCGAATGCCACGCTGGCGCAGTCCATTGACGAGGCCAAGAACGGCAGTCGACTTGGTACCCGGGTTTTCAATGCCATAGTCGTTGTAGTAAAGCTTCACATCGTTGGCGCCAATCTCAGCCAGTGCTTCCTGCGCGTATTTGAATGCAAGGTAGAAGTAGTCTTCGCCGATAGTGTCATACCAGACACTCGAAGAGAATGAGCCATCGGAGTTGAGAGCCTCGTTGACTACATCCCACGAATAGCAGCGTCGACCAAAGTGCTGAACAGTCTTGAAGATATGGTTCTTCATCACGGCAGTGAGAGCCTCAGCCGTCCAGGTCTTGGACGTAACGAAGTCCGACAACTGGCTGGCCCAGACGAGGTTGTGGCATCGGACCTGCGTACCGAAGCGCTCGGCCACCTCGAGGAATTGCTCCGCTGCGGTGAAGTTGAACACGTTCTGCTCTGGTTCGGTGTACATGAACTGGATAGAGAAGCGAATGTTAAATGAGGAACGAGAAACGTGGGAGGGAAGCATTCCAACTTGTCTAGACATACCTTCATTGCGTTTGCAGGCGTAATCTCCCCAAAATTGTTCTTCAGGATTTTGAGATACGCGGAATCGGTGGTCTCAGCAGTTCCAGGAATATCGGCAGCCGTACCAAACCAGTGCTTTCCCCGGCGCTGAGCAAGCTTATTGAGATCAATGCTATTGCTATTGCTATTAGAAGAGTGAGGCGCTGCCTGAGACGCACCAGCCAGCAAGGCTGCAATCACGAGAGATGGACGCATGGCGAGAAACTTGGAGATTGAAGAGTGATGGTAGCTTAGCACTCTATTTTCGCAGAAAATTTTGAAGCTATATAAACAAATTTCTGGCCTAAGCTTTCTACACTTCCCCGCAAATGCACGTCGCCTGTTATTACTAGCCCCTACTACTCAATCGCTCATTCGCTGGCCCGTAGTCAAAACCCCTGAGTACGTCTATTCTCCGGGGGAGCATGCGGAAATTAGGCTATACTATGCTGCAGATGTTTCGTGGAAAACGGCTAAGCATCCTACACTAGCCTCATTTTCGCTTAAAGCCGGCCGCAGGAGAGCAAAGAGAGACTAGTCGGAAGCAGTTAAGGCGTCGGCTACAGGTCTTAGCAGGATGTACGAAGTATGTTTTTGATTTCAACCGAGCTACCGGCTGCAGTATACTCGTCTAATATGCCCAATAATTTCCAGAGTAGTTTTACAGCCTAATACCCCAGGAATTATATCACACTTAGTGAGTGGATCAATATCAAATCCTATCGAGTGGGCATTTCGAGCTATGCATTCGAATTAGTGCATGTTAATTGGGCTCTGCATGGAGATGTAGCATTTACCCTACCGAAAAACTTTATAAAAGTAAATACCCAGAGAGAAAGCGAAAAACAAACACCGAAAATTGTTAACATTACATCCCACCTTTAGTCTGTGAGCTGGAACTGGGGGCTCGCTTGTGACTGACTAACGTTTAGGGGCTGAGCTAGAGGCATCAGCGCATTAGCTCTCTCGGCAAATCTTAGCCTCTTGACACTGCCGATCTGTGAATTCTAGAGAGAGGGGTGGATACCCGATGCATCTCCGTGCATGAAAATAGCTAGAAGGATCGTGGCCAATGCTACGAAGAGGTTGCAAAAGTGGAATGAATCGAGAGCAAACAAAGGAAAGAAATCGAGCAATAACAAGGGCACTGAGTAGCGTGTGGAAATCACGTAGTCAGCCGTGTTAAGATACTCAGATTACCCTAGAATATACAGCTAAAGTCCTGCGATTTCCATATAATTGACCATGCACTCTCGGGCTCATAACGAAGCATGACTGCAGCTATTAGATTTAATATTGTATGGAGAAGTAGGCCACTTAGTCAATAAAGATTCTTAAAGATACTAACAGCCGCATTATAATACTCCTTTAAGAAGCAAAAGTACGTTTGAAATGACAGTCACCTCTCATAGTAACGAGGGACTGTCATGTCGATCCAGTGCATTGAGCCATCAGCCAATCTACAGCTCAATCTGGGTAGTAACCGCCTTCTCACCACCATCTGCCTCCGCAGATCTACCATGAGTACCGGCGAGCTGCTGAACCTTCTCCGAAGCAGCCGCGCCACCCAAAATAGCTCGGTCACCGTCGAACTTCTTGACAATCTCCTCCAAGGGAATCTCCTTGGTCTCAATGTAGTACTTCCAGACGATGAAAATCTCAAAGACCAGGAAGACACAGTAAACCAGGTAGTACTTCCAGCCAATCTTTTCCAGCGCAATTGGGTTCACATATTGATTGAACCAGAGACTGAGGTCCACACAGAAGAACATGAGGGTAAGGCCCTTGGCACGAAGGCGGTACGGCAGGATCTCAGAGGAGTAGGAAACCAACATGCCGCTGAAACCGATGTTGTAGGCAATGTAGAAGAGGAACATGAAGACAATGACGGTGTTGGCGGCGTTGTGGTTGGACACACCGGCGGCGTCGGACACACTGAAACGGGCCAGGGCAATGGTGGTCGCAACGTAGCACGCAAGCATGCTGATACTGGATGTCAAGAAGAGCTTGCGTCTGCCGAAGTAATCGACGAAGAAACAGATTCCAGTTGCGGAAACCACATTGACTGCGCTCAGAATCAGGTTGATGGTGAGTTGCGTGTTGCTGTCGGTAATGCCAATCATTTTCAAGACCTAGCTTGATCAGCAATTGTTATCTCTGTTATACATCTTCCCACGACTTACCTGAGGCAAAAAGTATGATACGATTCCGTTGCCTGACCACTGAGAGAAGAAACCGATGGAAATCAGAATGATCGAACGGTGGCGATTGCCAGCAGTAGACCAGAATTCAGTCCAGTTGTTGCCCTCGAATTCCTTCTCCAGCTCAATGGTCTGTTGAATCTCATCAAATTCGACGTTGACCAATTCGTCATCTTCGTCTCCTTGGGCATGCACGTAAGCCAGGACTTTCTTTGCCTCCTCCAGTCTGCCCTTAGAAATGAGCCAACGGGGTGATTCGGGAACGGTCCTGTAATTTGAAAGTCAGAAAAATCGTTCCTCGTTGAATATTGTCTGTGCCTCGTACCAAATGAAAACCAACTGGCACAGGGATGGAATTCCCTGCAGAAGACAAGGGACACGCCATGACCATGCGCTGCCCACGATGTGGTTCGTTCCTAAACCGTCACGTTAGGAGGTGCTCATACTGTTTCTCGAGGTCATTTATCCAACGTACCCAAAGCAACGCAGGCTCCGATGAGAGAGCCCACGTACCACAGACTATTGTAAATTGACGAGTAGACTGCGCGGTGCTGAGGATGCACCAACTCGGTGACAAGAAGGGGCGAGCATTCCTATTTTCATTGAAAATTTACTATTAGTGATCAACTTGCGATAACAAGGTCGTCGTTTGACTCACCTGGGCAATACCGAGACCAAAACCAAGGACGATACGACCGACGACAAAGAGGGCAATACGGTATCCGATCGATACCATGGCAACACCGAAAAGCATGATCACGCAGCCCACAACCACACCGGCGCGACGACCGAGAATATCTGCGACGTAAGGGACAACGGGAATTGACAGCATGGAGCCGATCGACATGGCCGCTGCCAAAAGGCCTAGAGTACCTCCCGTGGGGTGATTATAGGCTAGATTATCCCATTGTCAGATTCGTGGCCGCAATCTTCAGACTCTTCAGATTAGAATCACTCACACTCATTCCACGAGTCCATGGCCTCCAGACCGTTCATCAACGATCCATCGTAGCCTGGTCATCCTGTCAGTCGTGCTGTCACGGTTGTGTTGAAAGGAAGAGGGAACTACCGTTGGTGGCAGAGGTAATCATAGCTGCCCAGAGAGTGAGATAGACGAAGCGCATGCCCTTCATCTTCCACCAAGTCACCCTTGGCCATTCTCGGCCACCGAGAGTGAAGGTATCCTTTCCCATGGTGCGTATCAGTCGAACCTTGACACGAATCGAAAAAGAAGAATAGGAATGATCAAAGATGCGGCCAGTTGCGATCGCCTCTGTCAATCTGTGAAATCTGCCAGGATCTGGAGAACACCCTCGTGGCTGACATTCGCCTAGTATTTAACTGAGCGGGGAAATGTTTCGTTGCCACGAAGCTGCAGGACCGGTCTCTTCTAGCGGCAAAATAGGATAAATTGTCTGACTCTCTCCTCCTGTCAGGGCTCTAGATCTCCTGGACCCGGTCAAAAGTTCAAGGTGGGGGGGGATCAAGCTAGAGAGGGTTCCACTAAGCTTTGCCATGAGAATATGGCAAAAGCTTACGGGTCTTGCGCAATTCCATGGCCAACGGGATAGTCTTGCCAAGTGACTAGGGTCTCGCGACTGAATTCAGGCTCAATTGGAGGACGATATAAGCCTGACCAATATGAGGACCCGGTTTGTCGACGCTCAGCAGCCGGGGGAACAGCCGTCCATCTCTGGAAGGAACGAAGGCGTCGTCTGGGCTGTGGAAGTGATTGGCTCTGAGACCGGGCCAGGGTCTTGGTGACAGGAACCAGAAGAACCCTAGATCGTTTCAGGAAAGGAGCCCAGGCCCGATGTCTGCTTTGAGACACTAGCGCCGGCCTTGTCGAAGCGATGGCCCATCACTGGACGCTCGCATGGTTGGGCTCCACGGAACTGAACCTTCTTCCCCCAGATTATTACTTCCCCCCGGACGGAAGATGCCGAGGTCATTGGTCTGTCGAGAATCAGCCCCCACCAGGTCCACCGGGGGTTTCTCCATTGGATGAGTTCTACCGCACTAAATGACAGTCCGGCATGCCATCAAATCGTCAGCCATTCATTCTGCCGGCTAGTCAGCCCGAGGGTTCGTGCTCAAGACGTCAAGGCTGGAGAGAAGGAAGAAAAAGGAAGAGCGAAGGACGGCCCGAACAAAGCAGAAATGCTATTATCCAGAGACCCACGTGAGTCGAGGAACCTTCGAACGTCTCAAATAGAACAGTCATCAGGATAAACACGTGAGACATCAGCAGCTTGGAGCGAATCACATGAGGCACTGTCTTTAGCCTCGAATAGCAACGCACGTCCCCGGAAATTTTCCAATCAACACGTCCGTGTGTATAAGCCCGTGTTGCATGAGTCCCGCCACTTGGTGGCTAACGGACATGTCAGCATCGAGACGGCATAGGAGACGTTGTTCGTCTGTTCGCGCTAGGTATCGATCCTCGGCTAAAACCTTTTCAGCTCTTGCCGGGTATCACCAAATCTCCATCTCCACAGAAGCTGACGAGGAGGACGGCCAACAGCAACCTTGCCCTGGGGAAATCTAGTTGTGGTGTAGTCGTAGCCTTGCCATTATGTAGGAATTTATTATTTGGATGGCAAAGAAATCTGCTCGCGCGATGAACTAGGCCTGACTCGGTTGGTTTAATCTTTGTCCAAAGGTCTGAATTTAGTGATAAGAGAAATACTCTAGCTAAACATGCTTCGACCGCCTCTCTCTGACCTGAGCATCCTTAGAGTCTTTTGGGGTGTCTGTCGAATAAATTTAGATCTATATATCGAGTTATCTTCGGGAATCAATGAAGTTTAGGCTGAGAGCGGAGTACTGTACAGTCATCGATGGGGAATAATGCTGAGAGTGGAGGATGAGCTGTACTGATTAAGCCAAGTTTGACATGCGGGCTGACTTTTAGAGCAAATGAAGCTTGTGGGTCAAAGATGATGATAATTCTTGGCTACCTGAGCAGGTACCTAGCTAAATGCGGCTGGCCGACTAAGACTAGGCGGGCAGGCCATAGTCCTATCGGGCTCGCAAAACCCAGCCAGAGGAGATCAGTCTCCGGCTGAGCGGAACAAGAAAATAAGCAGACATGAGAATGTTGAATAACAATTCGTGATGAGTATGTGAATGAATCGTAGTCACGGGGCAAGTGAGCTTAGGGGGAACCAATGGGAACCCCGGCCGAAGATGTTATGCCTTACATTACGGAAGATGGGTCAACGGGGGCTTAGAGGATTCTATAATTTACACTGGAGATATTGACCGGCTCTTAAATGCTGGCGGGCCCCTGTGGTCTCAGCTTGGTCTGTTGTGCAAGTGATAAGCACCTTCCATATCCAGCTCTTCGGTAAAAAAATGTGGTGTGTATGAGTAGAAATGCAGAGAGAAGGAAGTCAGAATCAAGCAAGAAGAAAATTGAAAGGCAGGCAGGTCAGATGAAACTCACCACTGATAGAAAAAGAAATACCTAAACTTGTTTTGATCGGCACAACCTTAGGCAGGAATAGAGGAGGACAGGAGATCATGGCGTGTAAAGCGCCGAATCAGAATCAGATACTAACCAGATATAAAGATGTGTGGATCCAATATAAGTGCACAGTATAACTTTGATATCATCATCATTATCAAAAAGAGATGCATCTACCCCCAGTCAGGAACAATCCGTCAGGCTGGATTGCATCTGATGTATCAACCAGCCTATGAATATCTCAATTTGCAATCTAGCCCATTTGCAAAGCGGACAGCCTCAAGTCCTAGGACTGGGGCCATTTTCTTGACTCCATATGTTTTTTTTTTTTTTTTTTTTTTTTTTTTCAGCATGGCCTTTAAGTACGATGTCATTGTCTCATATCCTAGTTGAGACACTCTGTTACAAGAAGCTATATTAATTAATTATGCAGGAGTGAGCTCCATTTCCACACAGCTTGGGCGACTCCGTGCTGGATAGGATTTGAGAGACTGACAAGCCGCGATGCAAGAAGCATAATCTTGTCGTTCAATACTTGCGTTGCTAGTAAACCATACATGGTTCGTTCATTTTGTTTGTGATTTTTGCTATTGGGTAGATGGAAAATCTGTCTGGCTAGGTGCGTTATCAACTTGGCTTCCAATTTGGGAGGCCTAGAGTGGAAAGCAGAACGAAATCATCTATACCACTCGAACGAGGTGAAATATGCCGTCTCGAGCTTGTCAGCATTCCCTTGTCATGGCTGTGTTGAATTGTTGAATTGCCCATGATTGAACTCTGCCTATTGTTAGAGAGTGCTGAAATGTGCCTCGAACGATTGACGAGTCGTGTTTCTGCGTATCTACTTGGAAATGCAGCTATATCTGTAGTGATACAACAACATGAGGAAGTTCATTACACAGCCGTAGTTTGAAAGAGACGGGCTACAGCTATATCTTTGTAGTGCGCCTCACAATGCTCTATTTGTGTCTTTCAAAGCACGAAAGTGACGAAATTGGACTAAAACAAACTATAGCCAAAGATGCCGAAGAAAATTAGTCGCAGGTGAACTAAAAGACAACAATCCCTTCGAGGGATCCCGTAAAATATCCGGGAATATACATCGTGTGAACACCTTGATGGACACAGCAAACAGTGCTCATGTGGTATGTAATATCCAGGGATAAAAGACCCTTCAGCATCTCCATATATGCAATGGCAGGACGAGCAGAATGCACAAACACCTGGATCTTAAGTAATGTTAACGCGAGACTTGTTCGAGTATTGAATCTTTTTCATTTGCCGAGATGCTTTGGACCTTAGTCGATACTTGAGAACCGAGAACGATTAGCCTTGGGCGTAGCTGATCAAAATGCAACGAATGGAGCCGCATAATGGTGGCGCTCTCAGCCTCAACATCGTCCGAGCACAGCCAGCCGGTCATTTAGGCTCTCTAGAGGGCTACGAAGAAAAAGAGTTGATGAGAACCAGAGACAACTGGTCAGTATGAAAATCATGGAGCAGTCAGCAATATACCCCGGTCGAGGACTGGTAGGCAGAGCTCGACGAAGCTGGCGAGTAAGTCTGCATGTCTGGTCAAATCTCCAATAGCAACAACACGAGTTCCCAATCGAGATTATTAGGGCACGAAAAAACACAAGTCAGCCTGCCCAGTTTTCACCCAAGACTCGATAGCGGACAACAAGAAAATGAGCCATATGAATTTAGATCAAAGAATTAGGCGCACCCACGATTGACAGCGTTCCTGCGGGCAACATATCGATTGTTAGTGACTGTCAGCAAGCTCAGCAGGTCAACTAAGTATCAAGCATCTTGATAGCGGCTATGTCTATCAGAACCCCATCTATTGACCAAATTCGGGACACCCGAATAAGGCCGAGATGGAGCCGCCAGCTTCATGAATTCGTGGCAAAACCGTGAAGGGAAACAACGGAAGATGTCCATTTCAAGGCTCCTTGGAAATTCAAACCGGGGAATCCTCTAGACCGGTTCGAAATGCCGGTTCAAAATGGCTAAAGGATGATTGCGTGGCTAAAGCTTTTGACCTTCATCTGCTTCATCCGATTCATCGGTGGAAACCCTTGACGGGCTGTTCCTCGTGGGTCAAATTGGGGAGCTCGAGCCAGGTTGTCGGGTCCATCGATCTCAAGGATCTCGATACGAAGATGCATGTGACATTGGTCTCATCATCCACTGGTGGCGCGCCCAAGTTTCCAGGTCTGCCACCGCACGCCACAGTATGCCTCGAGCCAAGAAGAGCCTCTGAAAAGCCGTTTTGGATATCGAATAATTCCCCTGCTGGGAACCAACCAAAGGAGGATGCAAGATGATCCTGGATAGAATTTTCGCCGACCTTGTTGAAATCAACCTTGCGGTTTATGGAATCCGATATGGTCATCGATCTGGGATTGGTGGCTGGTCTTGCCAAAGACGGGACCAAACAGCCTTTGGTTCAAGTCCACACTTTGGGAGAGCATTGCTGGGAGCAAACCTTAGTCATGGGTCTCTTAGAAAGCTAAAGAATGGAAATCAGCTTTTGCGGTGGGTTCCGTTAAAAATGTAACTGGCAGATCACTTTGGACTGTGCCTGGCAGTGGTATTGGGGTTGCAATAACCCATGCTGAGTACCATGGAGTCTCGACAACACCACCACGGAAGGGTCGGCAACAGGATCACAAAGATGGATGAAGGGAATTCTGGTAGGCATGCCTCTCGTAGTCGAGACCGACCGGCTTTGGCAGCAACGCGTCTCCAAGGAGCCTGTGAAACTCCACGGGAAGGGGGCAAAGAATGATGGCGGCAAGACCGGATGTGGACGGATGGAGACTCGCGGAAAGGAATGTGATCTTTCCAGAGGTCGTACAACAATATTGCTCTGTATGGGTATGAATTACGGACGCTATTCTTCCTCTGATGAATTTGTGAGAGTTGTAGTAGTATACCACGTACGCACTCAATGAGGATAATAGTGTAGTTCAGGTCCAACCATAGTTCGCATAACAACTGACTTGCTTTAGGCCGCGTCGTTGACTCCACCAAATAATCCGCATTCAAGGTAGAGAACGAAGTTGAGATGGGCGAAAATAGAATCGGGTCGGTCGTAGGCAGAAGGATAGAATTTTCATTATCTCCGAACTGCAAGACCCATTATTGTCGTAGTAGTGTATAGTGATATGTCTCGAAGAATGACGACCACCTGTATGCTTCCAATTATAGATACCTCTCTCTTGTTAACATGACCATTCAAGTCTAGGCTCGGCCACAACCAGCTCACAGTCATGTTGAACCCGCCTATCATAGCTATATGTGTATCCGATTAATTGCCTCGAGACTTCCATGAAAAGACCGTATTGTTTTTATTTTCTCTGAAATGATCTGATGTGCAAAATAATGAAGTGCAGCCTGAGACAACACTACGTAATCTCTTCAGTCTCTCCCCACAACAATAACGCATCCGATACCTACTATTGGTGCCTCTTTCAGAGCCCCTTAAGTCTTACTTAGCATTGTCATTCGTACAGACCATCTTCCAACCTGAACTTCGTCCAGGACCAGCATTCAACAGACTTCAATGACTACAACGTGAGCCACACTTACAGCCGGGCGGGGACAATGAAATCCGAAAAGGGGCCTCGAGAGCTTGAATCAAGGCGGATTGGAACCTCTTCGGGGCACCGGAAAGTCAAAGAGTTCTTTGACCAAAAGTCAAAATGGTGAGAAAGCAAACATAACGAACGTGAAATAGGTCCTTTGCAGTATCTCAGCGAAACCGGGGCGATGACGGTGTCTGCCTGCATGGCATAATTCGGGGCGAAGGTGAACGGGGGCTTGACTAGATTGTGCGTATGATTGGACCGTGCTGGGGGGTGTAAAGAATGGCAATTCCAAAACACCCAGCTCCATCCGGGCCACACCACGGATTACCCAGTTGATCACAGTTAATCAAATAATGATATCGACTTGTTGGTCTCTTTGATGGATATGATGGCGCCAATGAATTATTACAATATTCATGGTTCATTCTTGGTAGAGGTGGATCCAGTCAAAGTACGAGTTGAAATAGATATTATTCGGAGTGTACCGATCTACATACGAAAACTATACTCCTAACTCCAGGCAACCTTTCAAGAGCATGTACTTTGGAATATTATTATCGGCGCTACTGAGGGCCCCTGCGCGGCTGAAGCAGCCTGGAAGCAGCTTCTTGAACGGAACGTGATTAATCCACACGCCCCACGTCTCGAGCAGGTCTTTGTTGCCTTTTGCGACCCGCAACATCCAAAACAAGTCTATGTCCTTGTCTCGAAGCTGCAGTTCGGTCCAACCCCAGTGAATCGAGAGGCCAACTGGGTGTGTGCAATCAAACTTCCTATAGGTTGGAAAGTATGGTAATCAACACTCCTATCTTAAGACCTGTGACTGGACTGGACCGGACTATCTTGGGGCTAGACCCAGTCATGTCGGTACTTTTCCATTATCCCAGTTACTACGCCCCCGTGAACTGCATCGGCCATGAGGTCCAAAGTTAGACATTCTTCCTTGGAAAGCAGGGAGTGATACGATGGCTTGAGAAATAATTTGCAGATGTGCTCACGATTAGCCTCGCACCGAGTCATGTCATTTGACACACTCTGCTCACCACCCCCCCCTGCTGGAGGGGCCAGGGCTAGCTGCGAGGCGAGGCGAGGTATGAGTTGGGTTGACGCGTTCCATGTTACAACACGAACCCAGGGCCAGGGTTAGTTTGAACGAAGTGATTGGGATAACACCGACACTCTTCGCTTCGTCTCGTTTCTTTTTCTGGGTCGCCTTTAGCGCCCAAGGGGATCGATAAACAATGGCCAGGATGAAGATAGGAAACTCCTCCCTTCAAGGGTACGGTACAATCGCATTTCCACCACCGAGTCATAAGTTCGGAGTATATCAAACCGCCGTGCAGCCTCTGCAATTACAACAAACATTGTGCGAGGACATGTTCTCCTAACAATGAATAATCTGGACCACGATTTCCTGAACGGAAGAGTCGGAACCCTAGCAGTGGAGGATACAACGGCAGCGATATGATATCGTCTCATTATCGTCTCCACAAAGTGTGGATGGTCCGAACCACAGCCTGATACCGAGTCTGCGTCTTGAGGTTTGCGTCTTTGTCCAAACCAGATCTTACATCACAAGTAGCCGTCCCAGCAGTCCGTGGAAAGCGCACCCCGAATCTAGCCTACACACTACAGCCAGCAGAGATCGTTGGGGGGGGGAGGGTGTCCAGCCAGCCGCAAGGACGACCGAGACACAAAAAACAAAACAGACAACCTACCAGATGCAAGGAGCCCAGCCGGGTAAGAAGGACCAAGCGAGGCTCCTCTATCGAAGAAGTGGCCACACCCGCATGCGTGAAATCAGACAGCACGGTACAAGTTCCCGAAAGGACAAGGGAGGAAAGCTAGAACGGAGGATCAGGATTGATGAGCTGCTGACGCATGAGACAGGTTACTTCCAATGTATACGAAGCAGGAAATAGACGATTGATGGGTTGCCGTGACAAGTGGGCTCGGAGGCCCCGCCCGGACAAGACGGTGTTGTGTAATGAAGAAGGCCGGATCGCTCACGGATCGTAAAACCATAATGAAATTGAAGGGAAAAAAAAACAAAGGGCAATATTAGCTACAGCTACACGGTTTATCAAATTAAATCATTGAAACCTGATGCTCGGACCAATATTTATCATCATTAAATCAGTACTACAGGGGCAGCTTGGTTAGCGTGCACGGGGTACGTCTTTTTTTCCAGATGGACATGCTCAATGCGATCGGCTTCAGCTTTACCCTAACTATCATCCAACGCCAACGCCAACGGTCTCGTCTCGTGTACGCTGAGTACCGTAGGGTGGGAATTCTAAATTGGAATGTGCGAGGTTGATTTGAGGATGAATTTCTGAAACGTTGAACCACCCTTTTTTCAATGATCCGCCGTCATCTGGTCAGACATACCGAGTACTGCATCTAGTAAGTATGTAATTGTGCACTGCGGATTTCTGGGACATTATTATGGCTAAAGTTACGGGGTACCGATAATGACAACAATGAGGAATTGCTCGTATCGTGTTTCCTATCTACTGAATTGACCATGGTGATCATCATTTGACCAACAATTCCAATTTCCTTTAATCGTCTAGGATGATCACTTTTGCTGCCCGGGTTCAGGGCCAACTTTGAACACTGGACTATTGGGGGCGTCTGCAGGCTGACCGCGACCGCCGGGGTTGTGATCCTCTGATCCTCCTCCTCGATCCTCCCCGTATACTCCGTAATCCGCCATCACCAGATTGTGGTAAAGCGAAAAGTCTACTTTGAGGAGTCCGGAGGAGAGGGTCCGTCATCGGCATCGGTAATTAGAGACACTAAAAATTTCAACCAAGGATATTAAAACATTCGTATGTAGAAGATGATGGCTGTCCGGACGGAGTTCAAACTATCCGCTTACAACCAAGAGCGCCCCCTCCTCTGCAACCACCCCACGCCTCCTTCATCTGCACGCGGAAGAGTCACCGATCGTGGAAGTCACCCGAGTTTCTCTGGTCCTCGTATTAGTCCTTCTACAGTAGATTAACGATTCTGATGTCTCTGTTGTTTCACCGTAGCGCCAGTACCAGCGCTAGTTGGTTCCTGAGCCTTTTGAAATGCCCTTTGCCGCCCATAGCTTGGTGATTGGCCAACCAGTCAAGTCTAGGACTGGAAATCTACGGGACGGAGGTCTGCGCAAAGTACGGGAAGACTTGGTCCAAACACATAGTACCAAAGTAGCCGTTCTGTGCAAATCTAACACCGAGTCGAAAAAGGGAAAAGGGACCAAAAAAAAAAAAAAAAAAAAAAAAAAAAAGAAGAAGAAGCCCAGAAGGAGAGACTTCCATCCTCGCAGGGCCAGACCAGAATCTAGGATACGTCCTTATGACAGATGGTTTCATTTAATCTGCAGGTAGGACCGTGTAGGGGGAAACCATTGTGCGCCTTCTCACTATAACGGCATAGGAAGGAGATGGGAAGGTTTATTGATTACGGGGGGCGCGGAAGAAATTCGGCAAGGTTAGGAAGCGAGGATGATCGAGTTAGGAGGTGTGAACAAGTGTGGTTAGATGTGAGTGCTGAACTGTGAAATGTGGATATTTCCGTGCACCGGAGTCACGGCGTACAGACTCTAGTAGGTGACAGGGGGAGGATTCGGCGGTAAACGATAAAATTCCTTTTCGCAACCGTCGTGCCTTCGTGGTGGAGCACATAGATGGGTGCTCGAGGGGGTTGAGCGGGGGGGCGTAAAAGTGGTTGGGGTTCAGTTGATGGTGCGTTGGCGGTGACTGGGTAACTTGACTAGGGGGTGTGGAAAGGGATAACAGATCGATTCGGA